TTTGAATCTGCCCGTTCAGTTTCTGTTTGAATGTGAAGGGTTAAATGAAAGAAGCTCGTCTCTGCGAGGTGAAGACGGGAGCTGATTGGAGGTCCTGCTGTGAACTCACAGAGGGCCCGCTATAGTAACTGAAGAGAGAGTAATGTCAAGTGACAGTACAATTGACCAATCATATCTTCACTCTAAATGGGTGGGCTTTATTATCGCGGACATTATGACAAGTTCCGCCCGCTGTGAAACGTTTCTTGTTTCCATAGCAACAACAACTTCCCGTACACAGCGTAAACTCGCCTTCAAAATAAAAGCATGCCAAATTACACTTAAGACATACAACTGCAACGAAAGTAACAAACACAATACAATATCCTTTTCAATTTCAAAGAACACAAATAGAGTTATTTACAGGTGTTGTTTTGAGTGGTAGAGGGTCGCTGTCATTGATGCGTTTTGCACCCCGGGCCGTTGTTTTGATATTCCGCTGAAGTATACGCTGTGACGTAATAACTCGAGGGAAGGGGTGGGGGTCAGAGGGCTAGGTATAAAAGTCACGGCTCGCCACTGATGTCAACAATACCCGCAATGGGACTAATAAAGAATTTCTGATCAAATTACACCTGTTTATTATTCATTATCCATATTTTGCTCCCTGTCATGTATCACTTCTTTATATTTGAGTGACGTTTAATGCAATATAATGTATTATACAGTATTTATAGTAGTTACTATGGCTGCTACTTCAATACTCAATATAACGCACAGTTAATAGGGGATTATGTACTTCTCACACACTACAATAGTCACTCACCTCATTCTTTTTTATATTTACCTCGTTTTTATAATGCTGCTGCTTATATTTGTTACCATGGATGAGTACATATGTGTTTGTTGTCTTTTTATATAGTTTACTCTTTTAATTAAACACTGTAGATCTCCCCGCTGTGTGACAGATGAAGGATTTCTGAGTTCTGGATGTCTCTGCTGCAGCGTGAGGAAGTGTTTGCGTGGTGGATTGATGCGGTTAGGGCAGTGACATTTAACACACACACACACACACACATCTACCTCCACACACACATATGTAGCCTGAAGCAGATTATTCAGTGGTGTCTCCTCACACATCTCAACTATCACACTCAACTTTGTGCTGTTGCTACGAGCCAGCCTTTGTCTTATTATTATTTAGTTTCTTATATTGTAGACGTTTACTCGTGGATCTACACTAAAACACACATTTTGGTCTTGAAGTTAACGGTTTCAACCTGCTTGTTCTGTGTCTCGAAAATGTACAAGTTCTGATTTGTTTTAATAAAAGATTCAGCCACACTTCATTTTAAAAAGCCACGGTCTCAGCAGGTACACTTTTCAAATTGTGTAACGTTTATTTCGATTTTAACTCGTAATTTGGTCACTTTGTTCGTAGTTCTCACCTTTTTTCAACAGGACTTAATTATAATAAAAGAATATAATAAAATAAGTTATTAAATACACTTAAGTACAAGGTAGTATTAGCAATTGTACATAGTATTTGTATTAACAAGGGTTAATAGCTTCGCTCTCTGGGGTTTAATGCAACCTTTGAGATTATTCTGGACTCCAGATCCGTTTTAGCTCAGATTCATGTGACTAACGCTCCAGTCTGTCGCTGTTTGAGAGTTTTCTCTGTGCGGCGGCGGCAGATAAAGCGTGCAGCGAGCAGCAGATGGTACTCACGGCGGCGTTGGGCTCGATGAGGCGCTGCTGCAGGACTCTGGCTTCCTGCCAGCGCCCCGACACACACAGACGCTCCAGCTCACACACCTCGCGGCCCAGAACGTTAGCCAGCGCACACACTCCGCCAACCGCACCTACACACATACACACACAGACAGAGATGAATAATTAATATACAGCTTTGAAAAAGGTTAAAACCACTGCAAAATCATTCGTGTTTTGAATTAAGACATTTCAAAGGGTGAAAGTGGGATTGCAGCAGAAAACAACTCTTCAGCCTCACTTTAAACTATATAGACATACTATACATTCATCCCATTAACCCTAATTCATTTACAGGTTGTCATCAACAAGTTAATAAGCAGTGAGGACAGCGACAAGAGAAAACTTGACCTATCAACATTAAATCCCTCTGACGTAATGCAAGGCAGAGGATGTTGCAAAGTCCTCTCACAGGGATTTTGAGGAGCCATATTTCCGCAGACAAACCTGGTGCAGCGTTAAGGTTTGTACACAACCAAGTGATAACATGATGTTTTATATCCATGTTCACTTGAAGGAAGTAGCCTGATAAATCACATTTGATCCTCTCGCAGCCACTCAACACAGCTCTGAGTATGTTTAGAATATTGAATACTCCATCCACCAATCACACACAGGGCGCTGAAACATTAGCATTCATCACAACGGAGAAGAAGAACCACTAGAGTTTCCATTTCTTCAACCATCAGAGAACTCCTGCAGCTGGAGTTTCCACATGTGGAAGATAAAACGGAGCAGAAAGGATGTTTTCTAACTGGATTGAAGTCCTCTTTAAATAAAGCCATCCATCACTGTCCTGGTTTTACAGCTCTGTTGTCAACACACAGACGTAAGTGATTCACTGACAGCAGATTTAGAGAGAGAAGTCCAGCATTTCATCCCTCCGTCTTCCTCTTCCCCGACACATCAGTAGGCAGAGTGTGATGTCGGTTTTTTATTTACAGAGCTCGATACACATACATTTTCCAAGGCAACAAGATATCATGGCCTTTCAGAGTGACATCTCCTTGTGAGCGTCTGGCGGAGGAGAGGAGCTTCACTCAGCCTCCGTCCGTGGCCTTGGAGTTGTTGTGTATTCACTGCTGATGGGTGGATGTTTTCTGTCTGATTTATGTTTCTGTGGCCGAATTCGTCAACGCTGCGACTGACAGGTGGCTGCAGGGCGACTGACAGCTCGTGGAAAGAGACGCAAGAGGGCAAAACATGCACACTATGCGTAAACTCTTTATCACTTCTACGTACAAATATGTTGAGTATTTTTTAAATCTATCTGTGAAAGCCCCTTAGCGACTGACAGCTGATGGAGAGAAACACTAAATACTGGACATTAACGCTGACTAAGTTATTATAATTGTAGTCAATAACACTTTTACTATCACTTCCAAGTACAAATATATTGACTACTTTTGATTGTTTGTTCAATTAAGGAACCTTTTGATTGTTTGAGTTTTCGGTTTGGATTTATCACATGGGGACATTGTACATTTAAGGGAACAGTTGTGCATTGGATGAACTACATTTTGTGGTTTTCCTGAGTTACATTCTGTAGGAATTCATTATTAGAAACTGTCCGGCCCAAGCCCCCAGGAAGTGCGCCGGACTCTGAGGAAAATATTCGTTGTGGCCAAACGGCGGTAGTACACTTCCGTTTGGGTTGCTGGGCCCGGAAACACTTTTTCCCATTGACTTACATGGGGAAAGAGTGGTCTGTAACTCGTTGGATAATTTTTTTTTAACTAAATAAACTACCCAGTATGAACACTTGTATAGCCCTTATTAAAAACATTCGGTCCTCAAGTTGTAAAATGTGCTAATAACGTTATTCTGAGAGTTATTCTCCTCGGCATTATGAACGCGCATCTGAGAGTGGAAGCTCGGGGGGCGGGGCTTAAGGGGCAACTCAACTGCACATGCTCTATGAGTGCACATACGGGTTATTCTGCTCTGACAGCCAGGCATGATGGGTAATCTGTGACGTCTCGCTCTCTCAAAAGTTGGGCCATTTTGCCTTCATGCGCCAATGAGCAGCTCTCATAGGAAAGAACGAGACTCCGCCTCCCACGCTGAATCCAGTTCTTATTAAACATCCATGGTCCCGCCCCTTAGTCTATCATGTACTATGTGTTGGAGCGCTAGCCAATAGAAGCGCACGTGTTTCATAGTGATGTCACTATGTTCTGGAAGTCAACAAACGAGTCCAATGGAGGAGTTTCAGGCGGGGAGAAAAACTGCCTCTGGAGGAAACTGAGATATTTTAGCCTTTGCAGACCATTTACATGCACCTATATAACACACTAGGAAACATAAAAGGGCCATTTTAACACATGCTTTTTTAAGCAATTTCTTGCATAAGGACCACATAGCTGGATAACACCATTTTTTTCTGTCAGAGAACCAGAAGCATTGTGAGAGATGTCTTCCCATAGGCGGCGCGTGAGGCTCAGGTTTGGGAAGGCTGAATAACTTGTTTTACCTGACGCTGCGTGCCTCAGGCGTCTATAGAAAAGAGATCAACTCAGTGAAAGCACCGCCTGCTGACCAATCAGAGCTCAGTGTGCGGAGTTTAAATCTATCAAGTCATATTATAGGATAAAGGAAATACAGTTTAAACTGCCGTATGCAGAGAAGACGCCGACGTGTCGCACTTATCATTCATATAATATCATAATATATCACATTTCTTTATCTGAGTCAGCTTCTCCAGCCGTATCTGGCCGTGCAACACTTACAGTGTCACATACTGTATGCAGAAGTATTATTTTAAGCAACACATTATGTTGACGAAACACTCGAGTCAAATGTAATTAAAGTCAGATCCACTCGTGTTTTAGACGGGGCAGTGATATCATAAAACTATACGCTTTCAAACACCCGGTAGTTATTTTTTAACCAGTTGTTCTGTATTCTCCTTGCAGGTGCAACTATGTGGCTTGTATCCTGGATTATATGTTTAAGTCATCATGGATGTTTAAAGTTCATATTTGTCTAATATTAGTTTACTTTTCATTAATGAAGTATGACGCTGCGCTGTCAGTACACTTGTCCCTGTTTGTGATTGGTCAAATGTAGCTAACCCCGCCCCTTTCACGTGAACGCGCTCTCAGCTGGAGAGAGAAACCCTGGCTTGATTTACCGAGTTGATAACCAGCGCCGTAGGACCGCTTAGCGAGATCTCGTTTGTTAGGGTTAGTTAAGATAACTCAAACATATCCAGGGTCTGATGAACTGGCTTAGTACAGGGCACAGGTGGCTGCATAGCAGCGCTAATGTCAAAGACACAAACATTATTTTTATTTTACCAGGATGCAGTGACACAAATATTTGGGAAGGCTTAGCCTTCCGTAGCCTACAGCACCCGCCGCCCCTGTGTCTTCCCTTCTTTTGATCATCATACAAAAGAACAATCAAATGTCTGCTGCTTTTGAAACTTCCCTGAAAACCCGTAGATGAGAGTGACTCTTTTTGTCGTGAGGCTCTACAAGGTGTCGACTGACTAATAGACGACCGGACCCTTTCAGAATTCTGGTGGTGGGTTGTTAAAATCGGACTTCAAAACTTGAACACACACACTCCGTGACCACATTAGTATTTCAATCGCTGGGTGTTTCTTTGCTCAGCCTTAGCTGTGTCAGTCTCACACACACACTGCCAATTACTGCCATATTTCAGTTATGGAGATCAGAACATGCCAGAGAGCAAATATCAGAGAGAAGTGTGTGTGTGTGTGTGTGTGTGTGTGTGTGTGTGTGTGTGTGTGTGTGTGGTGTGTGTGTGTGTGTATATGTGTGTGTGTGTGTGTGTGTGTGTGTGTGTGTGTGTGTGTGTGTATGTATGTATGTGTGTATGTGTATGTGTGTGTGTGTGTGTGTGTGTGTGTGTGTGTGTGTGTGTGTGTGTCTGTGTGTGTGTGTGTGTGTGTGTGTGTGTCTGTGTGTGTGTGTGTGTGTGTGTGTGTGTGTGTGTCTGTGTGTGTGTGTGTGTGTGTGTGTGTGTGTGTGTGTGTGTGTGTGTGTGTGTGTGTGTGTGTGTGTGTGTGTGTGTGTGTGTGTGTGTGTGTGTGTGTGAACATGACTCATTAGGTTTCTGAGCTTCATATTGATGGCGATCCCCTAACGCGTTATCTAATCCGGGTTTACAGAACACGGAACGTGGCCGGCATGTCGAGAAGCAGAAGCCGTGACTTCAAAATGCTGCTGCGCAAGGTTACTCGTGTTTTATGATTCACTGCAACTTCAAATAAAAGATCACATGCTTTCCCACAGGATGAGAAACCACTATGGGCTGATAAAAAGTGCAGTATTAAGTTTCCCTTAAATCTTAAAAAGTTGGCGATTTGGATTTATTTGAAAAAGGCTTTTAATGTGAAATGGTCTTGGGAACAGGTATACAATTAGTTATATTCTGTTTGGTTGCTTCAGAGGGGTTGCTGGCAGGGGCGGACTGGGACTAAAATGCAGCCCTGGAAACTGACCCAGTCACATGAAATGTCAAATGTTAGAAATCCGCTGTTTATTATTTAAAGTTTTACGTCCGATTCGCTCCTTTTTCCCTCTCTGAACACAGCTCCAGTTTGGGCCTGTCATCAGATTTCATTTTTAGTTGCTGCTGTAGCGGAAGTTTAGTAAAATTATTTTTGATGAAATACTCCAAATCTCCACCCTCCATAATTGCACTTGCTTCAGTTGCTTGCTACTTTTTAAGGGCGGTGATGACAGTTACAGTACGAACTGAAGTTGATGCGATTTGATTGGATTGTGAGGCATGACGTGAGCCTCATCTGATTGGTCAATCCCTTGATTTTTTTCACCAAGGGAAGCCAATTTTGGCTCGCCTCCTCTCGCAACAGAGAGTGCAATCTACTGTTTCACCATAACATCTAGGGGGGCGCTGTTTCACTCTTTGTAAAATACTCAATGAGAATGGGGGAGAGACGGGCCGGCAGAATAATTACCGAAACTAAACGAAGTGTTTTAATTTATTTATTTAAATTATAACTACAATCCAAAAAAACAGGGGAAGCCTGGCTTCCCTTGGCCTCCAGGAGAAAACGCCACTGAGTTCAAGGGATAATTCTCAACATACTTGCCAACAGTGGCGGCGCCAGAGATTTTCTCTAGGGGGTGCTGTGGGGTAGCTTGACGTTTCATAGAGGGTGCTCAAACATTTAGGGTTTCCCATTAATGCACCAGCGCTACAGTTGAATTTTCTACTGCAACACTCCCCACACGCACACACAGTGTACCCGCGACTGTTACAATGAAGGCTCGGTAATCAGCTCACGGCGTAAGCAGGAGTAAAGTGCTATTTTTACAAGTGGTGTGTGGACCTCACCTCCTCTAGGAGGGTCCTCACCTTCTCTAGTGGGGTAGATTTTTTTTTTTAAATATTGAAGTTAAAAGCATCAATCTGGTGCACTTTGAGAGCAAAATGAAGAGATCTATGGATATACTGTATCTCTCAACATACATATGAAACAGAACTGTAAACAGATTTTCTATTTCTTTATAGATATTTTACAAATCACTCCCCTTTTAAAACAAACCGTTTGAGACCCACTGAGATAACTAGACTAAAGTTAACTATCTAAACACTGAGAGTCCTTTACTTCACCTGAGCTGAGGTTATCTGAGACTCTCCGTCTGACAGGAGATAGTTCTCCCTCCACCTTATTCTTGAAAAAGCTCCTTATATCCGTTAGCTTGGCTAGCTAGCACCAGATGCTAACCACAACGATCTCCAGTAGATACCCACCGGTGCGCGAGCTCTCTCTCTCGCTCGCTTGCGCACGCACACAAAATGGCTCGTGCCACACACACACAGAGCAGAGCTTGAATGAAACACAGAGACCCAGAAGTAAGCTGTACTCAAGAGGCCTATTATGTGCAGAATCCCTCTCACTTTCATGTGGTTTTGATTGAGTGTCCACATGTGGACGTTTAAGGACTAAAAAACGATCAATTTGTCACTTTGCTGTTAGCAAATAATGTGGGGCTCCAGCTAACAGGAAGTCACTCAAGTGTCACAAAGTAATTTAGCCTATGGGTAGGTCAACAATCTAATGGGTGTCACCTGTGTTGGCTTTATGTTTTTGGTCAAACATTTGTTTGTTTCACATTTGCATTGATGTAATCAATCATTTTTCTGATTTAATTTAATAAAAATAATAATAATAGTGTTTGAAAAAAATAAAATAAACACATATTTCTTGGGGGTGCTTAGGGGGTGCTTTGGCAATCCTGGGGGTGCTTCAGCACCCCCTAGCTCCCCCCTGGCGCTGCCCCTGCTTGCCAACCCTCCCGATTTTCGCGGGAGACTCCCGATTTCATTGCCCTCTCCCGGTTTCCTCCCGGGGTCATATTTCTCCCGCATTTCTCCCGATTTCTGACAAAATCAGATTTACTCAGGACTGTTTCCACTCGGACTTTAATACAGCTACACCATTGTTTGGTTTCCATGGTAGCGCGTCTCTTTAGCAGAGCGCGCAACTCAAAGTCTGAGAGAGTGAGGCAGATAGTCACAGAAAACAGAACAAGAATCGACAACACGACCCTCCGCTCACTCCTATGGTGCTACAGGCCGCAAGGTAGTGCACTTACCACTACAATAAACAATAAGCATGTTAATGTTAATCTAATACAGCTCTGGCGATGATCCACTAGCACCCCCCCCCCCCCCCGCGGTGGTTTTGAAATGCTCCCGATGTCTGAGGTCTCAAGGTTAGAAAGTATGATTCTCACCCACCTCTTGCTCTTGCCCTGCACTTGTATGTGCCAGTTGAGCTGGTTCTTCCAGCAGCTCAACTCTGTCCCTCATCATGAACGCAGGAGGCTGGCTGTATATCTGAACTCGCGCCCTCATCATTCTCTTCATCATCTTGCACTTGTTCTAAGCTGCTGCTGATAGTGCTTGTAGCAGCGCTGCTGCCAAAAAGGTCTGTCAATTTGCGACATGTATATGCTTCACCTGCGAGTGACTTCACCTTTTTTACTCTTGCCTTCTCGGCCCCACCTTTTTCTTTTTCTTTTCTTTGATTTGTATCCATGTTTTTTCATTCTCCCTGTCTGCCGGGGCGTCTAATCCCTTCTCTTCGTGTGGCCGGTCTTTTTTCTTCTTCGTGTGTGATTATTTGACAGATAAGAACCACATAACTGCATTAGCGCGGCCGCTGTCGCCCTCTGTCGGCCGTCAGCGCAACTCAAATGATGACGTTAGACAATTTTTATTTATTTTTTAAAAGGGCTGGCCGGCCGTCAACAGCCCTTGACAACCGGCCGTTCTGTGGTTCTCCAGATTCTACAGATGGCCAGTCGGCCCCTGGTTGCTGGATTAAACACGAAAGAAATGTGTGTCTCCACTGCTTCCAGTCTGAGATTATGGTATGGTTGTAACATTCAAACTCTTACGTTAGGAGAAATAATCAGACTCAGTTTTCCAGGTTTCACAAGACGTAAAAGAACAAAAGTTCTGTCTTAAACTTTTATTGGAATAAGGTTTGTATAGATGTGGATGAGCGTAGAAGCAAGAATCTATCTGGCATTGTACAACTAAAATCTGGGCTGAAACTAAACATTGCTTCCATTGTCTTTTCATCTGCTGACTATGTTTGTTCTATAAAGTGGCAGAAAACAGTAAAAAAAATGACCATCCCATTTGCTCAAAGTCTCAGGGGATGTCTATAAATGTCTTGTTTCGTCAGTCCAAGCCCAAATATTCACTTTAATATGATATGAAACAGAGAAAAGCAGGAAATATCCACATCTGGGGGGGGGGGCAATTTCTACCCTTTTTGCATAATGGTTTTGCACATTTAACTGATTCATGAAATAGTTGGCAATTGTCTTTCTGTGGCTCGATCTAGACATTAATCAAATGATATCTGCAGCTCTAGGGCATATCCAACTATTTGGAAGCAGCAGATTGCACATTGTCCTAATCAGTATTTTGATTCTAGCGTTATGGGCCAGAAGAGTGTTTTTGTGAGGTCGCAGTGAACCTAATGACCCCTGAAATCAAAGCAGTGTTTCCTTGGGTCTATGAGGATGTTAGGGACGTATTTGAAGATATTTCTTCCTGACTTTTCTAGAATATTGCGTTCACGAGAATGGGACGGATGGACGAAAAAATAAAGAGGACATGTTTGGGACATTTAGCCTGTGCAACTACAGGAAGTGACACCAAGGGTTTATGGGTAGAAAGAGGTGGATGTTAACATGCGACTACGCACTTTTCATGGGGAAGAGCATTTATCAGAACATCGAATAGAACGAGATATTTGTGAATTATGTGGATGTTCATTTATGTAACACAGGACTCGAAATGAAAGATATACAAAGACAACAGCGTCAAATTCTGCTTTGGTTAGAGATCAAAAGGAAACAAACAGTGAGGAAGATGGCAGCCTTGGGGATAAAAAGGCTACCATCTCCTCCCTGTGAGGATCAACAGCTCCGTTAGTCCTCATTTAGCTTCTTACCGACACAATAGGCGGCCATGAGGAACCCTGCTGAGCCCGCCAGCACCTGGAAATCCTGCGATTTGGTTTTGTGAACAATCAGGCCGATCCGTGAGATCTGAGGAAGTGAGAAAGAAACGAGAGAAGAAGGTTTACAAATCAGGAGTGTTTCATGTCATCCCTCCTCCCTGCTGTCAGGGAAATATCTGCTGTAGTTATTTTATAAATCCCCGGAGACGCTGTCACAAGAGACAAATCTAACATCTCACAGGGTAAACAAATCGCTCAAGTCGACTCTTAACATGCTGCAGGTTTTGGGAGGAGGGGATCATTCAAGAGCCCAAAGACGAGGAGAAGAAGAAGAAGGAGAAGAAGGAGAGACAAGTCCCAAGTGAGAAATAAAAAGGAATCACCTTCAAAAGGGAGGGGGAGGAGGACGGGGAAAGGCTCATGAATAATTGATAAGCTCCCTATTTTGTTTCGCCTCTTTTAATTCTCTTTTGTCAATCCGGATGTGAAGCGCAGAATCCAAATAAACCTGAACTGTTCAAAGGGAGACGAACACATGAAACTGAAACTCCGCAGGGAAAAGCATCAGCTCCGGTTTGAGTCTCCATCACGGTTTCAGGGTCTATTTTTACCCGCCGACTGTCAATCAGTTTCCCCACATCAGTCATTTCAAACACGCAGGACTGTAATTGATCAGTCAGTCAATCAGGTTATAGGAGCTCCTGCTGCTCTGCTGAGGGTTTCAGCACTCTGGCTATTTCGATACGGCTTCCTGGTGAGAAAAATAACATTGCAGCGAGAGAACTGTCGGAGAAACACTCTTTATTTTGCACTGTGACTTACCAAAAGGGAATTTAACCCTCTACTGAAGATTGTGGTCTTGTGATAATGTATCAGTCCAAAAATGTACTTTCTATACCCTTTTCTCTCTGTTATGTATCTATCTTAATTATGTTTGTGACCTCAGGGCATCAATGTGGAATATGTGTGTAGAAACACAGAGAAAAATCTGATTTCAGAGTTTAAATATCATAAACATGTATGTGCTTTTAAGGTAGGGACACACCAAGCTGACACCAAAGAACTCACACAGACAGACCCGACTGTTGTGTCGTCTCACGTCTCCTGCGTCTTGGCCAACAGTCGCACTGGAACACACCGCAAAGACTTCAGCCGACGGCCAAGAAGCACGTACGAACTGCGCATGCGTGAGTGGCAATAACTCTCCTTACCAGCAGGCGGCGGTAGTGTGTATTCGTCATTCAAAACAGGCAACAACCGGAAGACAGACTGCGTGATAACCGAGAGAAGAAGAACAGACTGCGTGATATAAACAAACAAAAAGACACAACGGTGCGGGACACACCAATCTGAGTAGGGCGACAGGACGCTCATCGTCGGCCTGACATCCATCGACGGCCAAAATCGGCTTGGTGTGTCCGTGGCTTAATTCTATTAAAAATAAATAGACTCTTTGTTGTAATGACTTGGCTTTATGGATGGTACTGTCAGTCTCCTGGTCCTCTAACTGTGATCTAACTTGAATATCTCAAGAACTATTGGATAGATTGCCGTGAAGTGTATTACATGGAATTAGTCATGGTTCCCAGAGGATGAGTCCAGCCGGTTTCCATGATGATGTGACTTCAATAGCATCATTATGGTGTTCATATTTGTGTCTTTAAATGTAAAATATCTCAACAACTATTCAATGGATTGTCATGTAGTTGAGTATAGTCAGTCATGGTCCCCAGAGGATTCATCAAACTGATTTCCATGATTATGTGCATTTTCTTTAGCACCACAACAAGGTAAACATTTGGGCTTAAACATAAAGTATCTAAACAACTATTGGATAGATTGAAATGTAGTACACACAGTCATGGTCCCCAGAGGATGGATCTTACTGATATCAGAGATCTTCTGACTATTCCTCCAGCTCCACCAGGGTTCAAATGTGTGTTTTATGTAAATATTATATATAGATTGCCATTTGGTTTAGTATAGACAGTCATGGTCGCCAGAGGATGAATCCACCTCATTTTTGTGATCACCTGACTTTTACTCTAGCACCAACATGCTGTTCAAATTTGCGCTTTCGTAAAATATCTCAACAACTGTTGGAAAGTTTGCCATAACATTCATGTTCCCCTTGGGATGAACTGTAATCAAGTTGATGAACACCATTCTGAAAAGGGCCATTTTGCATAACGATTGCTTGTAATTTTAAGTTCATTTTGAGGCCAATACTGTTGGAGTTTTACCTAAGACTTTTACATTTAACAGAGTATTTCTACGCTGTGGTATTGCAACTTTTACTTAAGTAAATGATAGAAGTATAATACTTCTCCCTATATATATATTATACGTTATCAAAAATGCACAAAGAAGCATTGGAATAATAAGCTATGCCTATTAACAAACCTGGTTGTCCCATGAGGCAAGAAAATTAAATGTTTTTAATGATGCGTTATGTATTCGGGGAACTCTGAAACACTATGTCTTTGATGAATCTCCACCTCCCATGCTTGCACGTGTCGCTTCTGGCTACATATCTTGTTATCTCATGGGTTTCCCTTCAGAAAGGCTGACAGCAGCAGAGGTTAAAGTTCAAATAACCTGAGCGCTGTGCACGGCGCTCAGTGGGAAATTGATCTCAGAGGAAAACCTACGGCACTGATCATGTGTGGGTTTAACCAAGCGGCCAAATATTAGTGCACAATATTGCTTTGAGACAAAACACGGAAAATGACTGTTTAGGAATATACGGTTGATATACAAGTCAAATATATATCTAAACCAAAAAACATGCTTCTTTAGAAATGTTTGTTTCACAAGTTATTTAAACTTTAACATCAATTTGCAGCTGTTATCTGTTCAGACGTTTTGCAGTGATAAACAAAACATTGTAATTATTATACCTGACAGACGATAATTGTTTGCAATAAACAGGTTTATTTTGGTCGGTGTGTAACGGTGAGGTGATAATGGATTCAGACATCTGGCACATGCAGGAGGTGCACGGCTTTAAAGTAAAAAACAAGATATTAGTAGAAAACAGTGGGTAGGAGGAATCATGAGACGAGAGCAGGTGAAACTAGTGTTTCCTATAAGAGTAGCACATATTTAACTATAACTATTGTAACAGGACTGGGCAGATAAAGAGAAAAGTGGTAGTGCAACAATCACGACAGACGCAGTGTTCAAGTCTAGTGATGTTACGTATTGCGCCGAGGCTTCGGAGCGTGTGTCGAGTAATCCCCGAAGCTTTTTGTGAAGCATGTATCGAGGCTTGTATCGTTTTGGGCCAGTGACGTCACCGATGACAAACGAAGCCTCGCTGCCTGTCGATACCACGTGACTGCTTCAGGAAGCGATTCAGATCGGTTGAACCGTTGAACCACAATGCTCATAATACCCATGGATGTATAATAAGAATCATATTACCCCTCCTGTACCCGGGCCCGGTGCTGACACGATGGAATCAAGAGAGCTCAGACCCTCACTCATATAGAGGTCGGAACATGTCATACGTATAAATAGTAGGGGTGCACCGAATGGGAAATTCTTGGCCGAAACCGATACCGAAAATAGGAAACAGTTGGCCGAAAACCGAATGCCGAAAGGCCGAAAATGATTAATAGAAATATATATATATATATATATATATAATGTATACATTTTTTACCAATGTTGTTCAGCTACCTGATTATGGAAATAGACATGATTATGGCAAAACTTAACTTAAATAATAATCACTATTATGGGTCCATAAAACATTTATTCAGCACTTTTGAATGCATACAGTACATTTATATATGTCATGTATTATTGCTAAAAAACATGATATCGCAGTCTTAGTGTCGCCAACTCGTTTCTAATATGCAAAGATAACAAATGCGTCTATGATGTATTTTCGATCAGACGAGATCTCTCTCCCCGTCTGTGTGCGAGGGGGTGGGGCAGTTTACACACACGCAGCTGCTACATGCAGCGGAGCACACTGCGGAGATGGCGGAGAGAACGCGCTCCGAGGTGTGGTTAAACTGTACCCGTCTCGATGTGGAGAATGCTCGTTACCATAAGTGGCCGAAAGCCGAAAGGGCCTTTTTAACCATTTTCGGCCGATAATTTTCGGTGGCCGAATATTCGGTGCATCCCTAATAAATAGATACAAGCATAAATAAATGTAGGAATAAAAACATCAATAAATACAGGAATACATATCTTGCAGTGTTTTCAGGGAGCTTTAGTGTGTGTGCTGCGGCTCAGCTGGAAAGCAGTTGACCCATGATCGCAGGGTCCCTGGTTCAACGACTGAACAATACATATTTGTTGTTGTTTATAAAAGCTACAGCTAAATGAGATAATGTAGTTAATAAATGTATTCTTTGATATGGTTTAGCCTTTCTCAGGCTACAACATGGTTAAGTTTATGAATATTATTAAGGAATACAAATCCCTCTTTGCAATGTTTACTAGCCTCCTTAGGCTTTTCAATCACAATCATTAAACTGGAATAAATACAATATTGTTGACATGAAGATATGATTGTATGTTCGTTGTTTAGAGTTATTCTAAGGCTTTACTCATTGGGAACTCGGTATGAGATAGAGCACACTGTTGAGATGTCCAATCTGCCTGTTTTACACACTTTGACCAACAGGGGGTTTGTGTTCAAATGAAGCCCATGATGAAGCCTCATGAGATGAACCCTTTTGCGAACCAATTGGCTGGAAAGCTTCAAAGCTTCATAAGGCTTCATCTCACTATCACTATTCAAGTCC